GAGAAGCAGCATTCTCTCAGAGAAAGGATTAACAGGTGGGATAAAATATGAACATGTATCATCTCCATTTCACTTTGAAACACAAACTAAATGTAAACTTGTATGTAGCTTTAAGTTGTATCAATATCCATTTTAAAGGATAAATCTGAAGCTACAGCTGAGCTTATGTATATACTTCTGGCAGGTGTCGGATCAACATTTTGCAGCTGTTTTGAAGTCCTACACAAATGGCTCCACACTACATATACTGTGTTTGAATGACCCTTTATAGTGGCTGATGTTGTTCTTTATAATTACATGTGTGAAAGCTAGCACAGTGGGTTATTGTCTTGCCTGCAGTAAGTGTATAGTCTTGTGGGAAATAAGAGGCTCAGAGAACAGCAACCTCAGGTTTATTGGATTGATGCCCTGTGTGTTTTGAGACCTGGGGATAGCAGTGTGCAGTGTGTGTTTGCCAGAGACGCTGTGTTTGTGTGTGTGTGTGTGTGTGTGCTGTGCTTTTGTTCAGCTGAGCACGTGCCTACGAGCAGCGGGTCATCACAAACGACATTTCTTTCAGTTCATTTGTGCTAGAAAGTCACACAATAAACACAAGCAGGCATGTTCTGGTTTGCAATGTTCGTTTCAGCTGCATGTGTTTTATTTCCTTTGGTTTAATGTGTTGGCACAAATATTCTGCTTCTAAAGGCTTTGATGGTGCAGATGTTTTAAAATGCCACAGTCGTTTTGTGGGTTTGAATTATTATGAATGAATCTAAGAATAATAACTATGTTCTGACTTTTCATTTTAGTGACGATTTTTAGTTTTTCCTCATTCTGAGTGAGTACATAGTGAGTTCTCTGTTTTTGTTGTCTCCATCTCATTGATGTACCTGGTTATGTCCATGCTTAGGTTAATCTCCAGTGTCAGTTCTCTTTTTTGAGGGGTATAGAGAGAGAGAGATTAAGGGGTTAGCGAGCTTTGTCAGACTTTTCTGTGTCACAAAAGTGAGTAAATCACGTGGTAACTTCTGAACACATAACCTGATTCAGGTCATGGGTTTTGGGTTAAAATCTGCAGGAAGTGCCAAGTTTTCACTATTTTTTTATTTACATGTTTCCAAGCTTTGGGTTTTGTTTCCTTCCTGTTTGAGTGTGTGTGCACCTGTGTCTCATTCAGCCCTGTCCTCCTGTAATCTGTTATTCTTCTGTGCAGCTTATCCTCAGTCTGTCTGTGAATTGCTGTTTTTGATACACTTTGTTAGTTTTGGACTTTTTTTGTTTCAGGTGTGTCTTTAAGTAATTAGATTCTGAATCCTGCGTCCTACATTTGGGTGCTGGTTCCTGCACTTCACCACCACAACATGACAGAAGCTCAAAGAGCAGATAAAATATGATGCAAACACTTAATCCAAGAATATTAGCTTCCTCTGGCTCACCTAAAA